TAGGACATGACAGGCAAAACATATTATATAATCACAAAGAGCAACACAATCGCCTTTAAATAATTAAAAATATAATAATTAAATATTTCAAACGTGTTAAAAATATAATAACATAATATTAATAGGTACGTCTTATAGCAGTACCATTAAAAATACTTATATAATCAAAAATCCTTACAACACCGATGTCTTAACTAAAAACATATATATATATATATGTTTATATATATATATTTATAAAATTATGCGTTGAAATAACCCCTATAATTTTCGACGTAGAAATGTTGATCCATCAACCCTCTTCTTCCCCGTATATAAATATATGTACGCTCCCATTCGGTAACCTGTAAAAGAAATAAAACAATTAATACAAAATAAAGCCAATACTTAGCGTAAACCTTGTTGGAATAACTCATTAAATAAGTAAAGGTTAACGATAAAAATTTGATAGCCTTCTAGTAGCTTCCCCGGTGATTATTCTAGCAGTAAAATTTTGAAGGCAACCCCATGAACAAAAATTTAAAATGTTTGTAACTTCGATATCTTTTACAATAGAGATATACTAAGGGCATAATTGTGATCCCATTACCAAGTAGATCAACGTACTAATCGATTAATTAATCAAAATAAGTACACGTCCTAATATGCTCCCGTATATAGTTCTAAAATAACAGTCCCTACCCACTAGAAGTATAAATATGATGCTAACAATCAAATTTACCAAACAAAAGTGTTGTAACTTCGAGATCTTTTACAATAGAATTATAAAAATAATATAATCATGATACCATGACCAAGTAGATCACCACACTAGTCGACTAATTCATCAAAAAAATGACGTCCAAACTTGGGTGAAAACGCTCTCGTATACATCTCTGGGATAATAATTCCAACATATTGGGTATATAGATGTAACCCCTCACGACGATAATATTTTATTTTCCATTGACCATCGATATACTGCTCCCAGTATAACCTATAAATCATAAAACCAAATAAATAATAGCTATGCACTAAATAATATCGCGATACTAATAATCGAAATACAAAACAAAATCGTATAAATATCAAACGAACTCTCCCTCTAGATAATATCATTAAAATCAAATTACTAGTATCCGACTTAATATCGTCACAAGGATAACATAACAAATACAAGAATAATAAATGTTAAAATACTTTATAATAATATAATTTAAGTGCCATTGAATAATTACAAGATATATATATATTAATCCCCAACTAACAATGAATATTTAATAAATATCCTATGAAACTTGTAAAGACAAAATTATAAATAAAAACGTAAGATAATAACCAAAATTTAACAATTGATAAAACTAATAAATTATATGGTACTAATAATTCTCTATGATTAAAATTGAAATTGCTTAAATGCAAATAATAATAATAACACTAATAACAATAATAATAACAATAATGAATTTGCATAAATTTTAATAAGACTTACCCTTAGAAATAATAATATATCCTTGACCATCAACATTTTAATTCAGCACTGCTTGTTTTCTTGCTAAACCTGTTGACACCTAAAAACAAATAAAAATGAATATATGTTCTTAGACCATAAATTAATAGAAATATTAACGATAAGAGAATTTCAGAAACAAAATTTTGGTAGTAAAATCTAGCTTCAAATTCTACAAAATAATTCTAACAATTATACATATGAATATATATATATATATATGTATATATATATATATGCATCCACTCTTATAACCAATAATAAATGAATAATAAGACCTTAACAAATAAAATATTCACTTATAATAAGCTAATAACGAAATTTAACCAAATACTAGCGGCCCATAACACAAATAATAATTTAAAGTGATCTTACCTGAAAATCAAATAAGAATACCTTATATGACGAAGTCACATGACCCCCTCCTGGATGCCTGAAAAATTAATGTAAAATAATATTTGGTCATAAGAATAATAATTTCTAACACGAGGCTGTCAATATTTTATAAAAAATTTGCAAAGCATTAAGTATAACAAAATGGATAGCATCTATATGCTTAAGGCATATACACATGAGCCAATGAAAAGAAAGAAAAACCAACTAGCATAAATGAACAAAATAATATAAAATTTAGATTAAAATAATAAAAAATCAGAATAAGGCCAATGAACATCATCAAAAATCAACCATGAACATTTACGATCACACTCTTCTATATATGAATGCATGTACCAAGCCTTATAAAATATTAACACTTCATATAAAAAGTTTTCAACTATAATAATCCCCCTTTTTCAAGTACTTTAATGACAAAATTTCATAATACCAAACCTTATTAAGTATAATTATGTCAGAATATTACTTACTAGTAAGTCTTCATATGACGAAAATATATGGACACCCTATATTCGTGTTCCTACTCACCGGGTACCCCCCTGGCAAAAGTATCGCCTGAATAAATAAAATAATAATATTAAGGATGGACACCTATAGCTACTATGAATATAAAATGTATATACACAATTGTAAAATGCACGAACATTTACATATGAGCACTCTTATACGTATATATATATATATATATATATATATATATATATATATGTACGTGCATATGAACATATGCAAATTTAATAATGTAAGACTAAAACCTTCCGAGAAATGAATAGAGCCCAGGTACATAATGTGCAAAATGACACTCGAAAAATAGAATCTAAACTCAAAAACTTTATTAAATAAAAATAAAAAATTACAACAATGAATATAATGACAGCAACTTCTTACCATGCATAATATACATGTATCATTAAGTCAAAGGAAATAAAACGTGAAAACACGAGAGAAATAGAGAAATAATATGTGTACTTACGAATAATACTGCACAAAGAATATTATGCGTATAACTCTACGAGTCGAACAAGCGTGCAAGGCCAAGTCCAGCACGTCGCGTTATCTCCATTGGAATTTTTAAACATCCTCTCCCGACCTAAAGGCAGAGGGAAGATCTAAATTCGCGCTCGCATGAATGCAAACCAAATTAATACATCGACTTCTCTTTTATAATTAAGCATTAACAAAGCATTTTCTATTAATATCACACTATTATCCAGTATCATATACCTCTATATACATATATATGCATACTATATGTGACATATGAACTGACTACATATACACATATGCATACATATTTTATAACAAAATCCAATAAAATAAAAGTAGAGACGTAATAAACAATCGTCAGGACAAAAAATTAACAAATATTAATAGATAAAAATATACACCTTTATATATATATGCATACTATATGTAACCTATAAATCGAATAAATTTACATATATGCACATATATTTTATAACCAAACTCAATAAAATAACGGTATAAATACAATAAATACGCGTCGCGATAGAAATTGACACATATATATATTAACTTGTCCAACAATATCCCTATATGTATATGCATGCTATATGCATATACATTTTGTAACAAATTTAACAATAAAACAAAGGAGGAGATATAATAGACTGCTACCGCGACAAAATTAATCAGCACACAAAACATATATATATATATATATTACGAATATTAACAAATAATTAATATTAATAACCCCAAGATTTTATACAATAATTATTAATCTTATACGATGATTATTAAATACGACTCAGTAAAAACTTGCTGAAATCAATTTTCATAAGCAATATGCGAATACATATCTATACATATATATATATATATATATGTGCTAATATAAAAGTCGCCCAAATGAAAATCTTCAAAGAATAAAATATTGTCAGAATCAAAAGACCTCTTGAATAAAAGATCACGGTAGAGCGTGCAATGAATTCTTCGAGCACATCCGTCGTGATCATTCTTAGAAGTAAAACGAGCCGCTTTTTCATACGTTGTTCCGAGAACTGTAAGAATAAAATTTCTTTTAGCGACATAATAACTATTAAGCGAAGCGATAATTAATTTCCATATATTCTTATTGTAAAATTTATTGTAATAATAATGGCTTAACGCATTAGAATTTATTAAAATATTATTCATAGATTTGAGTAATCATTAAAAGTCGACTTTGAAAATTTTAAAATATATACATATAAAACCACAAAAATTCTAATTGTTAAAGCCTTTATTAAATAAATAAAAATATATCTTGTAAATGATAAATCTTAATAATTAACCTTAAGATAATTATTAAACCTGGGAATATTACGTGTAATATGCCAATTTAAACCACGTAAACGAATTTTAAAAGGTAATTCATTAAAAAATATTACTGTTACTAATGTGTCTTATAAAGAGAAAGAATGCAGTGAGCATTCTTCGAAGGACATCCAGCATATCTATTTTTAGAAAAAGAGATAAGCCATCTTCGCATCCGTTGCGTTAGAATCTGCAATCCAAATGCTAAACTTTTCTTTACTAATTATTACTAATTATTAATTTACTAAATATTAATTAATTACTAATTATTAATTTTAACTATATACGCACCATTGTAAAAATCATTGTAATAATAATGGTTTAATACATCAGAATTTACCAAAATATCACTTAAAATTTAAACAATTGTTATAAATCGAACTCAAATTTTCTAATAACATAAATACGATATTATAAAAAATTCTGATTGTTAAAAATCATTATTAAAAATTATTCTAAAATTATTTAATAAATCTAAGACGCAAGACTTGCAATCCCTACCACAAAACTCTCACCCACCACATCGCAAACTCATAGCAGGAAGGGATAGCTCCAGCAGCCGACCCACCAATCACCAAAAAGGCCCACCTCTTCTCCCTACCATTAAACATCGAACCAGAGGAAGGTATATAAGGCCGCCGCCGCCGCCGCCGGTGTCTCTCTGCGCCATTAACTCGCCTGTGTCTCAGCTCTCTCTACGCCCATCAGATCTCCAGCTCTCGAAGAGGACAAACCTAGAAGCCTACCGGACACCTTAACTTATTCGAAAATAACTTAGTCGCGATTTTGATTTTTTTTTCTTTCGGGACTTAGTCTCAATCTCTATTAAGAGAGCTGTATCAACATTAACACTTTAATAAAGTGCTACCATCCAGCAACCTCTGACTCTTTGGCCATTCTCTGCGCTGCCTTGCCACTTCTTCAGGTTCTCACCGAGGTCGAGCAACCCAGGGAAGGAGCAGCGGTGCCTGCATTCATCCATTGATCCCGTCATCCGGTAAGGAAATAATAAAATAATAATCATTCTTAATCAACCTTGATAATAACTTCGTATATTAGGTTGATTTATTCTAAATATATTGACAATTTTCCCAGAATCTTACCTGTCCGTATACAGACTTTAAATTTTTCTTTCGAGTTGAATTATTTAAATTTCAACCGATCCTCTGAGAACGCTCAAAGCGTATCCTAGAGTGTAGCGTCGTTCGAGTTAGTCACTCGATGTGCATTGAGTAGCAAATTCTACTCCTCTGCCGCTTTCACGGAGAGCTTCTCTGAAAGAATTTCTCCGTGGATCCTGTGCCGCTGTGACGTGACGTCTTGCACATCGATACTAGACTCAGAATCTAAGACTCGCTCCTAGAGGATCTGTCGAAATAATAGAATTTATGCACTGGCTTACAAGTTAACTATCAAAACATTTTATGAATTTTATACTTATCTGAAGTAAGCCAGCCGCTTCCACCCGTATCCTCGTCTGTATCCTTGAATCTCCAGACCTCTCGGTGCAGCCGCATGCTTTGGAAATTCAGTATATGCTAGATAAATTATCATCCGTTGTACGACAATTTTCCCAGAATCCTACCTGTCCGTATACAGACTTTAAATTTTTCTTTCGAGTGAATGATTTAAATTTCAACCGACCCTCTGAGAACGCTCGAAGCGTATCCTAGAGTGTAGCGTCGTTCGAGTTAGTCACTCGATGTGCATTGAGTAGCAAATTCTACTCCTCTGCCGCTTTCACGGAGAGCTTCTCTGAAAGAATTCCTCCGTGGATCCTGTGCCGCTGTGACGTGACGTCTTGCACATCGATACTAGACTCAGAATCTAAGACTCGCTCCTAGAGGATCTGTCGAAATAATAGAATTAATGCACTGGCTTACAAGTTAACTATCAAAACATTTTATGAATTTTATACTTATCTGAAGTAAGCCAGCCGCTTCCACCCGTATCCTCGTCTGTATCCTTGAATCTCCAGACCTCTCGGTGCAGCCGCATGCTTTTGGAAATTCAGTATATGCTAGATAAATTATCATCCGTTGTACGACAATTTTCCCAGAATCCTACCTGTCCGTATACAGACTTTAAATTTTTCTTTCGAGTGAATGATTTAAATTTCAACCGACCCTCTGAGAACGCTCGAAGCGTATCCTAGAGTGTAGCGTCGTTCGAGTTGGTCACTCGATGTGCATTGAGTAGCAAATTCTACTCCTCTGCCGCTTTCACGGAGAGCTTCTCTGAAAGAATTCCTCCGTGGATCCTGTGCCGCTGTGACGTGACGTCTTGCACATCGATACTAGACTCAGAATCTAAGACTCGCTCCTAGAGGATCTGTCGAAATAATAGAATTAATGCACTGGCTTACAAGTTAACTATCAAAACATTTTATGAATTTTATACTTATCTGAAGTAAGCCAGCCGCTCTTACCCGTACCCTTGTCTGTACCCTCTGAATCTCCGGACCTCTCGGTGCAACCGCATGCCCCTGAAAAATTCAAAATATATTAAATAAATCATTAATTGCTGTACCCCAATGAACTGTATATAGCCGAACGTTTCAACCATGATATGAGAACGAGTGAGATATACTATCATAATCTACATTCGTTTATCTCATAATAATCCGTTAAGCCGTATTATTCGTCTTAACTCTATGAACCACCTTGCTGTGACTACATTTACCTTATAAAACCATTCATCTTAACAGGTACCTTTCTACGCATCATCGTAAGTAAACCCCTTTTGTGTTAAATCAATCGCATCAAACATAATAAATAGTCGTATTCCCTCGGTAGATGGTTAACCCCCGCCGAACTTCTTCCGTTGGACGCGAAATTTCCCTCCGTGCCGCGGGTATACGCCGCAGGCGTGCCTCCCGGTCGGTACTTAGGCTCCCTACAGCTCGTCAGTTGTTTGCCGACGAGAACGACTTAACAAGCAGAGTAACAAGGTACTCTCCAGTGCGTAGTTTCGCGCCCTCCCGCGCATACCCTTATCGTCCTCCCCGAAACCCTCCAGCGGTTCTTCAAGAGGAACAACAGCCCAGAGCCAGGCCGCCATCGCCCAATTACTCCCCCATCCAGGATTCATCTAATCCCAGCTACTCGCCGGTCAGGACCCCGGAAGATCTTCCTTCCATACCGGAAGAACGAAGACCCATAGAACAAAGCACAGAAACTGAGGCTGGTCCATCCAACCCAGGTCAAGTTCTGGATCCCCCTGAACCAAATTTCTACCCGGAACCAGAGGACCTAGTCTTACCAAGCAGTATCCAACCCCTCGCAGGACTAACAGACGAAGATTTTATCGAGATCTACGAATACTTGCAGCGAGATAATTTCTTCAACAACCGCGAATAATAACCATATCTAGATATCGCCTTAGAAATGCTATAGAGAAGAACATTAACTACATACACACATCTATACGTATAACGATATACACTATCTACAACTGTCAAATAATAACAATAATAACAATAATAAAGAATTTGTAAAGCTCTAAGGAAGTAAACTAATAAAAGAAAACAGATCAAAAAAAGGATAAATTGGGTCAGGTTCAACGCACCTAATCTATTTCCCATCGTCAATCCCTCTCCTGAAAGAAGCGCAAAAGATTCTTAGTCTCTCGGCGTCCTAGGGTATAGCCGGCTTGGCAGGTTGCCCTGAAAAAGAAATAGAGAGAAGTTACAATTGCGTAACAAATAAATACGTGAGAAGTTACGATCGAGACGTAACAACGAAATCTCAAAACGTAACAATATATTGATTATATATTTAAAATAAATTTTTGTAGCGGGACGTAACACTATCTTGAAAAAAAGCGTTTAATTCACGTTAGTACGTCGCATAGACGTGCGTTATTCGGATTAAAAGCATTCATTTCTAGTTAGTTCAGTACTTCGCATCATCGCATGCTATCTTGAAAAAAAGCGTTTAATTCACGTTAGTACGTCGTATAGGCGTGCGTTATCCGAACTAAAAGAATTCATTTTTGGTTAGTTCAGAACTTCGCAACATCGCATGCTATCTTGAAAAAAAGCGTTTAATTCTCGTTAGTACATCGCATAGGCGTGCGTTATCCGTACTAAAAGCATTCATTTCTACTTAGTATAGTAGTTCGCATCATCGTATGCCATCTTGAAAAAAAGCGTTTAATTCAAGTTAGTACGTCGCATAGGCGTGCGTTATCCGAATTAAAAGCATTCATTTCTGGTCAGCTCAGTACTTCGCATCATCGCATGCTATCTTGAAAAAAAGGGTTTAATTCACGTTAGTACGTCGCATAGGCGTGCGTTATCCGAACTAAAAGCATTCATTTTTGGATAGTTCAGAACTTCGCATCATCGCATGCTATCTAGAAAAAAAGCGTTTAATTCTCGTTAGTACGTCGCATAGGCGTGCGTTATCCAAATTAAAAGCATTCATTTCTACTTAGTTCAGTATTTCGTATCTTCGCATGCTATCTTGAAAAAAAGCGTTTAATTCACGATAATACGTCGCATAGGCGTGCGTTATCCGAATCAAAAGCATGCATTTCTACTTAGATCAGTAGTTCGCATCATCGTATGCTATCTTGAAAAAAAGCGTTTAATTCACGTTAGTACGTCGCATAGGCGTGCGTTATCCGAATCAGAAGCATGCATTTCTACTTAGTTCAGTAGTACGCATCATCGTATGCTATCTTGAAAAAAAGCGTTTAATTCTCGTTAGTACGTCGCATAGGCGTGCGTTATCCGTACTAAAAGCATTCATTTCTACTTAATTCAGTACTTCGCATCAGCGCATGCTATCTTGAAAAAAAGCGTTTAATTCTCGTTAGTACGTCATATAGGCGTGCGTTATCCGAACTAAAAGAATTCATTTTTGGTTAGTTCAGAACTTCGCATTGTCGCATGCTATCTTGAAAAAAAGCGTTTAATTCTCGTTAGTACGTCGTATAGGCGTGCGTTATCCGAACTAAATGAATTCATTTTTGGTTAGTTCAGAACTTCGCATCATCGCATGCTATCTTGAAAAAAAGCGTTTAATTATCGTTAGTACATCGCATAGGCGTGCGTTATCCGTACTAAAAGCATCCATTTCTACTTAGTATAGTAGTTCGCATCATCGCATGCTATCTTGAAAAAAAGCGTTTAATTCACGTCAGTACGTCGCATAGGCGTGCGTTATCCGAATTAAAAACATTCATTTCTACTTAGTTCAGTATATCGCATCGTCATATGCTATCTTGAAAAAAAGCGTTTAATTCACGTTAGTACATCGTATAGGCGTGCGCTATCCAAACTAAAAGAATTCATTTTTGGTTAGTTCAGAACTTCGCATTGTCGCATGCTATCTTGAAAAAAAGCGTTTAATTCACGATAATACGTCGCATAGGCGTGCGTTATCCGAATCAAAAGCATGCATTTCTACTTAGATCAGTAGTTCGCATCATCGTATGCTATCTTGAAAAAAAGCGTTTAATTCACGTTAGTACGTCGCATAGGCGTGCGTTATCCGAATCAGAAGCATGCATTTCTACTTAGTTCAGTAGTACGCATCATCGTATGCTATCTTGAAAAAAAGCGTTTAATTCTCGTTAGTACGTCGCATAGGCGTGCGTTATCCGTACTAAAAGCATTCATTTCTACTTAATTCAGTACTTCGCATCAGCGCATGCTATCTTGAAAAAAAGCGTTTAATTCTCGTTAGTACGTCATATAGGCGTGCGTTATCCGAACTAAAAGAATTCATTTTTGGTTAGTTCAGAACTTCGCATTGTCGCATGCTATCTTGAAAAAAAGCGTTTAATTCTCGTTAGTACGTCGCATAGGCGTGCGTTATCCGTACTAAAAGCATCCATTTCTACTTAGTTCAGTATATCGAATCGTCATATGCTATCTTGAAAAAAAGCGTTTAATTCACGTTAGTACATCGTATAGGCGTGCGCTATCCAAACTAAAAGAATTCATTTTTGGTTAGTTCAGAACTTCGCATTGTCGCATGCTATCTTGAAAAAAAGCGTTTAATTCTCGTTAGTACGTCGCATAGGCGTGCGTTATCCGTACTAAAAGCATCCATTTCTACTTAGTATAGTAGTTCGCATCATCGTATGCTATCTTGAAAAAAAGCGTTTAATTCACGTCAGTACGTCGCATAGACGTGCGTTATTCGGATTAAAAGCATTCATTTCTGGTCAGTTCAGTACTTCGCATCATCGCATGCTATCTTGAAAAAAAGCGTTTAATTCACGTTAGTACGTCGCATAGACGTGCGTTATCCGTACTAAAAGCATTCATTTCTACTTAGTTCAGAACTTCGCATCATCGCATGCTATCTGGAAAAAAAGCGTTTAATTCTCGTTAGTACGTCGCATAGGCGTGCGTTATCCGTACTAAAAGCATTCATTTCTACTTAATTCAGTAGTTCGCATAATCGCATGCTATCTTGAAAAAAAGCGTTTAATTCAAGTTAGTACGTCGCATAGGCGTGCGTTATCCGTACTAAGAGCATTCATTTCTACTTAATTCAGTAGTTCGCATTATCGCATGCTATCTTGAAAAAAAGCGTTTAATTCAAGTTAGTACGTCGCATAGGCGTGCGTTATTCGGATTAAAAGCATTCATTTCTGGTCAGTCCAGTACTTCGCATCATCGCATGCTATCTTGAAAAAAAGCGTTTAATTCTCGTTAGTACGTCATATAGGCGTGCGTTATCCGAACTAAAAGAATTCATTTTTGGTTAGTTCAGAACTTCGCATTGTCGCATGCTATCTTGAAAAAAAGCGTTTAATTCTCGTTAGTACGTCGTATAGGCGTGCGTTATCCGAACTAAATGAATTCATTTTTGGTTAGTTCAGAACTTCGCATTGTCGCATGCTATCTTGAAAAAAAGCGTTTAATTCACGTTAGTACGTCGCATAGACGTGCGTTATCCGTACTAAAAGCATTCATTTCTACTTAGTTCAGAACTTCGCATCATCGCATGCTATCTGGAAAAAAAGCGTTTAATTCTCGTTAGTACGTCGCATAGGCGTGCGTTATCCGTACTAAAAGCATTCATTTCTACTTAGTTCAGTAGTTCGCATAATCGCATGCTATCTTGAAAAAAAGCGTTTAATTCACGTTAGTACGTCGCATAGGCGTGCGTTATCCGTACTAAGAGCATTCATTTCTACTTAATTCAGTAGTTCGCATCATCGCATGCTATCTTGAAAAAAAGCGTTTAATTCAAGTTAGTACGTCGTATAGGCGTGCGTTATCCGAACTATGTTACGTCTTACTTCTCCAGTTTTCGGTAACTATTCCCTCACTCTCTGATTCTAGGATCAGACCTGCTGGGCTTACCATACAGATGAGCGAAGTGCGTCTCCCAATTTATCTTTTGAGGCAACCTGCGCAATGCCGGCTATACCTCGGGATCGCCGGGAGCTCTGGACCTAACTGCTTTGATTGGATCGCTGGATTTATCTGCTTTCCGAAGGATTATGCTTGTGGATCGTGCGTGTTAAGAAATAAAGATTCACTTTATTTTAGGAAAAGTACAAATTTATATAGATTTATTTAATATCCTCTAGTACATTTTATTCTTTGGTTTCTCTCCTTGGTCGTTGGTACATATAGCAGATCAGAGAAAGATGAAGCTGTCCAGTATATTAGAGAGAGAAGATCATATAAGGAGACATGTTAATTATATACCATCGCAAATAATTAAAATAGAGTTGCGCAGATGCAGCGGTAAAGTATCGCGCAGATGCGGCAACAGTTCATGAAATACAAGAAATCAATTGATTTGAATAAAATGTTTCATATAATAAAATAAAATAATTCAAATTAAAATAATTCAAATTGCCAAATGTTCAATTTAATAAAAGATTTTAATTTAATAAATGAATTTAATTATATTATAATAAATTTTATGATGAGTCATACAATGATGAATCATACGAATATAAAATAAAAATAAAAATGAGTCATACAATGATGAATCATACGATGATGAGTCATACAGCAGGTGTTCGTTAACAGAATATTTCAATAAATTATATGATGAGTCATACGACGATGAGTCATACAAATATAATTTTAAATAAAATAAATTAATTAATTTGTTAAAATGAAATAAAATAATAAAGTCAATAAAAGTGAATTAAATCATTGGCAAATTGCTTCAATAAGAATATGCGATGTACTATTGAAAGTTGTTCACAAAATGGCGGACTGCCATGAAATATGGTAAAATAAAATGGCAGGTTCCCCAACTCCTTATATATTATACATGAAAAATATATGTAGATTCGTAGAAATTTCTGGACTTTCGGTAGATAGGGAAATAGATTGCTTTTTATTTCGTTTATTATAAAGCTGAAGGAATACAGAGGTAC